ACACAAATGTAACAAATTGTTAACAACTATTTGTATATTGTATAGGGAGTTAACTTAAAATTCTTTCAACTCTTCTATAGACTTAAAAGCTTTTGGTGGTGTTGGGGGTTTGAACTCAGAGCCTCACACTTGCTAGGCAGGTGCTCAACCACTTGAGTCACACCCCCAATGCCTATATACTTAAATTTTAACAGTAAATGTTATTAAATGGTGGGGAAAAGATTAAATGAGACCTTACTGAAGGTTTTGGGGGGTTGGTTATTTGGTTTTGGTTTTTGCTTGGTTTTGTTTGTTTTCTGCAGAGCTGGGGATTAAATCCATGGCCTCTCACATGCTAGGCAAGGGCTCTACCACTGAGCTTCATCCCCAGCTCCCAAAGAAGGTTTTTGAGCAAAGAAATGAAAATCAAATTTATATTCTACAAATATGACTTGTGCAGTGTAAACAATAAACTGAAGATGGTCAGATGATGGAAGTGCAGCAAGTTGCTATTTCATGACATGGAAGCATCAACACTTAAGAAATATGGATAAGCACAAAAAAACAGTTCATAAGGAGAAGAAAATCAGAGACATCAAAAGAAGTAAAAAGCTTCGTGATATCAGGAAATTTCAAAAAGAAAGTTCAGTGTCAAGATAACTGAGAACTACAACAAGACAAGGACTGACAAGTATAAGATTATGCAAATGTGTAAACTTGATTATGTAAAAGAGATGTGATAAAAATATAAACCAGATAAAATATACTGGTAAGTCCAAAAGAAACAAATGAAAACCAAAGGAATCAGACTGGTCAAGAAAAGAAAGCAATAACTAGAGAGCAACATGAAGCAAAACACTCTAATACTTCTTTAAAACGAAAAATGAAAGCAAACGACTGTACCTAAAAATTACCATATAATCTTTTTTTTTTTTTTTTGGTTGGTCTGGAGTTCGAACTCAGGGTTTCTTGAGCCACACCTCCACTCCATTTCACTCTGGTTATTTTGGAGATAGAATCTTTAGAACAAGTTGCCTGGGTTGGCCTTGAACTACAGTCCTCCCAATTTCAGCCTCTCAAGCAGCAGGGATTACAGGTACGAGCCACCAGGGCACAGCTCCATATATCATATTATCCAGAACATGTACTATTGGGTGAGGCAGTTTGCCTAATGTCCCTACACATTCTTGCTGAGTATGCCATCGGCAGATCTTTTCATTTCCTGACTCCTGTACTGTTTGTTCCAATAAGTTATGTAGGCAACAAAGAACATCAAGGCAACCACAGAAAGTATCTGCTCTCCCAGGAAGAGAGAAACTACCATGTTTTGTTGTTTGCTACAATTTTGCAGCTTCCTTTAAAAAAAAAAAAAGTGCTGTACCCTGAGTTCTGAGTTCCTCTGCGATGACGCAAAGTCACTGTTTGTGTCCATAAGGACATTATTACCCTCCTGGGACTTGGTAGCAATGAAAATCTACTCAAATATGCTGATGCTCATGTTTGCTTGGTGTGTTATGAGTAAGGTCATTTGTCTCTGACTTGGGATTGTCCTGTTTTCTGCCAGCAACTGTGAAACATTAACAGACTAACTTACTAATTTGTAAATAAAGTATCTATTTATCATGTACAAGTATCTATACATTTTACATATATTACCCTATTTAATTCTCATAATACTACTGAGGTGTACTAATATACAGAAACTGAGGCATCAAGATGTTAAGTAACTAAGCCAAAAATTACAAACAGTACAACCTAAATATAAGCCCAGATGACTTAAAGCATATTTTCATTTCTGTTCTTGTGGTATTGGGAAAGGAACCTAGGACTTTGCAAGCACACATGCTAGGCAAGTGCTGTATCACTGAGCTATATTCACAGCCCCAAAACTTGTTTTAAACTACTGTCAAGCCTCCTTCCCAGCTGATTTTCAAGGACAACTTTAATTCTCCAGACACAACAGCAAAGTGCTTAGATCTCCACAGCATAAATACTTCATATTTTAGAAATGTTAATATAATCTAATTTTTAAAAAAAACCCTGTGGTCAAAGATTAAGAAAAGCTACAGTAGATAAATATAAACCATTGTTTTTAACCACAGAATATCTCATAGTTTTAATGTATGTCATAAATGTTCCATGAACACATACTACCAACACTCTGAAATACACTTTGGGAAACGAATGCTACAATGAACACTGCCAATGTAATTTGTACACAGAATATCTTTTTAAAACTACTAGTAGTCAGCTTGGTACAGGTACATGAGCCTTTAAAATAGAGAACATCGAAGTCAGAATGTGGTCTAACAACTGCAAACCAAATAACTACTTAATAGTTTGGCAACACTGCTCTTTTCCTATCAAGCAAAACTAAATTTCTTCTAACACGAGGAAACTACATATCCCATTTTTTTTCCTGAAAACAGAAGATTAACAATCAAGACTTTTTTGTAGCTCTACATTGTTATTCCCTGTTTTACTTAACAAAATTCAGATCCTTAAGAAATTTTAAAAAGTAGTGTGCATGCCTGGAATCCCAGCACTCTGGAGACAGAGAAAGGAGGCAGGAAGATTTGAGTTCCCAGGCCAGCTACAGAGTGAGACCATATCTCAAAAAAAAAACAAGGGCTGGGGTTGTAGCTCAGTGGTAGACAGATTGCCTAGCATGCACAAGAGCAATGGGAAGGCATGTCCTGGGTTTGGTACCAGCATGGGGGAAAAAAAAAAAAGAGTTTCTAGACAAAGCCAATCCACTGATTAATGGTAGTAAGCCCTAAGCATTACCAATATGAAGAGGTGAAATCTGTCTCTTTAAATAGTAAACACAGCATATCATTTCACCCATAAGTATACTTATCTACTTACTTTATCATCTCTTAAACTCAACAAAGTGTTTATTGCTCCAGTTTATTCATCAGTCCAGAATTTACAAAAAAAAAAAAATGAGCTAAAGGCAGCCATAAAACAGTTGTGTTCACCATGTAAGGAAGAGCCACAAAGTCCACTCAAAACTTAAATTCAGCTGTTTCTGTGTCATACCTAGATATAGTCATTAATCAGGCAATTCTCAACAAAACCAAATCCAAGAGTTATTCTAGATAGATGGAATTACTATGTAATTACACAGGAAAAGAAAATGCAAATTTAAACTGTCCTAAGATTCTCTAATGCTCCACCTTACAAGGAAAACAAATTGATATCCTACCTACAGGTAGTAAGTCTTTAGAAAAAGTGACTTCTGACCTCTGCTCTCAAGGAATGCCTCCACCCATTCAAAGTCTGTATAGGACACAGCTTGACTATGAATTTAAAAAAAAGGAAATAAAAGATGATATTGTCCACTTTATTTCTAAAGAAACTGAAGAGAAAAAGAAAATATATTAAAATTGAAGGAACAAACTTCAACATTTTGGTAGGTTGAATTTTGTTTTTAAAAATAGCCACAACTAGTCATATCTACTAAAAGCAAATGAAATACTTATTTAAGGAATAAAAATTAAAAATGTTTTGAGTAGTGAGTTGTATATAAGATCATGGTTGATTCCAATATGCAAAAGCACCTAAAGAGAAAAAATTCAAATCAGCTCATGCATTAAGAGAAATAAATAGGAACAGGAAAAATTAAAAAAAAAAACAAAACAAAAACGAGTACCACTGATAATATAATTAGATATTTATGCACTGAATTTTCTTTTTGCTTACAAAAATAAAAATGCCTTTAAAAAATAAAGTCACAAAAATGTATTATCGGACATCATCTTTAGAATGTATTTTTCTGAACCATTCTGAAAATATTGACAATCAGTTTTCAAAAAACTGACCATATGGATCAGTATGCAAGCCAGACAGCAATAGAAGAAGGATAAGCTCTTGTCTTAAAAAAATTACATCCACTGGGAACCCAAGTATCCTTCATATTTGTCAAAATGCATTTATTAATAGAATTTACAATACACATGAAAATGATCTTAAAGGTGAAATCTGGGGTTAATACATCTATATTTGTAGAATATAAACTATAAGCTGCACCATCAAGCAATATGGATTGATGTGCTTCTCTCCTCCCTCAATAAATGTTTAACTAAATTATCCCCTGAAAATTTAGATTAACATGCTACCTAGCTGGCAACACAGCAATCAGCTATTGCTGAGTCCATTTTTAAATAAGATTTCCAATAGGAATCTCCCTCCAATGACACAAATACAGTATACAAACTGACAAATACAGAATACACACACACACACACACACACACACACACACACACACACACACACAAGCATGCAAAAAAAAAAAATACAGAACACGTTCCACTCGTTTGAACGTAGTTACAAAGGTTTACATGATTAAGCCGGAAAACCTTACATTAAAAAAAACTAATTTTCAAACAAGATCAGAATCTTTTTCTAATAAAACTTCTTGATTTCCCTCCCGCTCATATGTATGTATATGTGTACACGTACATATGTATATACATACAGACATATATATTGGAATGGAGAAAAATACACTTGTAATACTAGAATAATGGGAAAGGACAAAATGACAAGGTTAAGCTGAGCAGCAAGATCAGCACTCCAGCTCTTCTCTACAGTCCGCAGTTCCTAACGTATATTCTCAGCAAGTCCACATCCCACCCTACGTAGTGCCCGACAGCCCCACTCACACACCATTATGACGGCAAATCACCTTCCTGGCAGGTATGTGAACTCAGCCCCATTCCTACTAGGAAATTGACTGGAATGTCTCAAGAGTGACTGGCTCATTAAATAAGTGAGAAATAAAACAGAAGTTTTAAGGTGAGGGGAGCGGGTGTCTTATAGGGGGGAGCATAGGATGCGGTTTGGGGGGCTAGGAGGAGAGGTGGGGAAGAAGGAAGGGTCTTGATGGAGTCACGGACAGAGGTCAACAGGAAAAAAGAAGCCAAAATAACGATAATAAGCAGCACGTCCCTTCGGGTATAACCGAGAGAGAGACTCTGGGCTGCGGCCCGGTTCCGGGTGGGGTTGGGAACTCACCACCTGGTAGCGGCCAGTCCCCAACTGATGATGATCCATCCTGCCCGGCTGGGAATCCGGCTCCCGAGCGGGCAAGTCCCCTGGGTGTTCTGCTCTCTCGACTTCCCCTAACAACGACGTCGTCGCCGCGGCGCCTTTTCCGCCCCGGTTACGGCCGCCGCGGTAGCCCGGCGGGGCCGCCTCACTTCCTGTCGCTCCCGCAGCAGCCGCGGACACCTCCGCGTCACTCGCGGTTCGTCGACGGAGAGCTGGGACGCCGCGCGCGCGCTACTGAGCATGCGCGGGGCGGTCGCGCATGCTCTCTGGCTCTTCCGGCGCCCCATCCACGCCGCGGCTCCCAAAGTATCGCTGGGTGGGAGGAGATGGAAAAAAGTCAGGCAGCCGCCGGGTTGCGGTCTAGGCTGTCAGCCGGTTGGGAGGGGGCGGTGGCAAAAGGAGCGGAAAAAAATGATTAAGTAAATAGCGGCCCTTGATTGGTTTCTTCCCCGATGCTTGGGTTTCGCACCAAGGACGTGCGAGTGCACCATCACCGCACAGAGACAGCTAGGAGGAGAAAAGGGAAAATTCCTAGAGCATTTGAGGACAGGTCTCCCATTTTCCCAGCACGTCCTCCTTTTACTCACCCAGGCTAGAACATTGCAGAGATCCATCTCCAAGGCATTTCTAAAACACCCACCCAAAGTCATTAGTGAGGGATTTTTTTGAAAGGTAATTTTTTTAAAGCAGCTTTAGGTTCACAGCACAATTGAGAGGAAGGAACAGAGATATCACATATATTCCCTGCTCCCACACATGCATAGCCTTCCCCACTAGAGCGGTGCATTTGTTACAACTGATGAACCTACACTGACACCATTATTACCTCAAGTCTATGGTTAGCTTTAGGGTTCATTCCCGATGTTGTGCATCCTAGGGGTTTTGATAAATGCGCAATAACGGCACAATTGTCAACCAAACAAACAACTATCATGCAGAGTATTTTCGTTGCCTTAAAAATCTTGTGTGGGATCACTTTTTAAATCTTACCCCTCCCTCCTTCTTGATAGTAAGAGATTTAAGAACTGAGCAAACCTTTTAGGCGTATGTCTTGCAAGGAAAAAAAAAAGACTTTAAAGTAATAAGACACAAGAGGGATAGAAGAAACTAATTAGTAATTTTGTAGTAATGCTCAAATTAAAAATTCCTAAGGGGTCTGGGGACGTGGCTGGAGCTGTAGAGCACCTGCCTAGAGGGCCCCAGAACCAAGAGAAAATAAGAAGAAAAAGGATAAAGAAAAGAAACTTCCAACAGTTTAATAGTGGGGAATCATTTTGTGAGGAGCATTGTAATTCTATCTCAGTGGTTAAAGACACGTAACCTACTGCTTGTGCATCTCTCATACAAGGCATGAAGCATGTTTTTCTAGCAAGTAGAAGAGTATGATGAGGCAAATAAAAGTACCTTTTAACCCAAACACCTGCTTTTTTTGTACCTGAAAACTGATTCCACATGAATCAGCTATCTTTTTTGTTGTTCTTGTTGTTTTAAAGGTAGTCTAACCCTTTTTCCCTAAATGATCTTACAGTAGAAAAGCCCGAAGGAAAGAATTGAAAGGTATAGAGCCCCACCCAGTTTACTTCACTAGGGAATGTGTAGAGGAGTTTCCTGGAGTGAAAGAAACCAGTGCATGAGCGTGACCAGTTGGTTTAAATAGAAAGGTACAATAAAGATGGAAACTCGTTGAAAAGTCATCAACTAAAATATTTAATCATTCCTGACATTTTTTTCAAAGAATTCATCAGCTTCTGTATTTGCCATCTTAAAGCATCTAATAGTGGAGAGCATTACTAGGCTAACTGTAAGAAAAGGCAAAGGTATCATCATGCTTAACTTTCTTTTTTTTTTTTTTCCAGTGCTGGGGACCAAACTCAGGGCCTTGCACTTGCCAGGCAAGCGCTCTTCCACTGAGCTAAATCCCCAACCCCTTAACTTTCTTTAAAGGTGCTTTCTTATAATCTTCTATACTGTATTTCAGATTCTAAGATAATAAACAAATGTAATTTTATTGTTATAAAAACCCTCATAATATCACCACAAATAGAATTGCCTCAAAGTGATCAAAACAACAGCCAACGTTAGCAAAATAAAATTAGATTCCTTTATCACTTATCATCTATAAAGTTGATTTTGAACTAAATTTTATATGTGCTTGTGTTTTCATTAACCATTTACATGTTCATTATTTCTCAAATAGACTGCTTCTCAGAGACGAGACTGTTTTTTACACCCAGCACAGCACTGAGAACATAACATTGAAAACCAGAAAACTGACCCATAGCAGCCATCTGCAATCCTGTTAATGTAATAGATTCTTTCAGTTTTACCCTTCTACCAAGTTCTCTGAACACTTTGCTAACCTAACAGAGCACAGATTCAATAAGGGGGAATAAGAGAAAGAGAACAACAGCATGCAAATACTGCATTCTTCTTAACCCAGGAGCTAGCATGGTTACTTTATCCTCACCACAGTTCCACAATGTAAGTACAATTGTAATTCCCATTTAACAAATAAGAAACCAAGGCACAGAGAAGCTCAGGAACTTTTCCAACACCAATTTCCAGGAAGTGATGACAAACACCAGAGCCTCTACTATATTAAGCATTATATTATAAGTGCTATATAATATACCCTCAAGAAAGAAAGGACAAAACACCTTGGCTTTTTCCGCTTCCTGACTACCATCATTGTAAAATGCATGGAAGATATAAAAAGAGCCAATCTAACTTCCTTAAATCCCACCTTCTTTATCTCTATGAAATGGTGGTTTCTCATCATACCTGAAACAGTCATTCTGAACTCTGTTTTTGCCTATTTCAACTAAATCATGTTAATCATCCCAAGCAGAAGCACTCACTTGTCCCTCTGGGAGCATCTTTCTGATGAAATGGAATAAAACATACTCTTTGCCACTTTAGAGATCTTAAATAATATCCAATAACATTTTCAATCCTTAATATTTTGCTATAACTCCAGTTACCTAAGAAATCAGTGGTGGTACACCACTAAAAGCTACCTCAAGTAGAATTGTAGAATTTTAGTGCACTAGACTATCACTTTTTATTTTGGTCTAATCAATGTTCATCTCTAAATACAACTACCCAAATTTTTACTAATGCTGCACTACAGTATTTGTGCAGATAAACTGTCCAGATTCCCTTTCAAGAAAGAGATAGTCTAGCTATAAGAAATGTGGCTGCCAACATTTTCAAAGCTATTAGCTTTGCTAGTGTCTACTCAATTTTCAATCCAAGGTGGTATTGTTTTCAGGATGGTATCCAGCCATTGACTGAGAAGGCACTTAGGCAAGGCCCAACCTGTTTTTGTCTGACACCAGAACTCTTTAAGGGGCAAACTTTGCTTCAGAGCTCTCTCTTGAACTGGCAGAGACTTTGTCAAATATGTATCGTGTTGTGGCAGCTATTCCTACTCAATCTTTTTTCCTTTCATACTTGTTATTCCCCATTGAATCTCTTGCACTCTTAATTTTATATCAGCATCTGCTTTTTTGGGGGGAGGTTGGTGGCACTGGGGTTTGAATTCAAGGACTCATGCTTGCTAGGCAGGCGCTCTACCACTTGAGCCACTCCACCAACCCAGCATCTGCTTTGTGGAGAACCCAACCTAGACAAGTACTAAGATATAAAGTGATAGAACATAATTAATAGTATCAAAATTTTGTTAAATAAGTACAACTATAATTTTTATGTGGTCAATGTTTCATGTCCAGAATAACCCTCTATGCTCTATGTTAGTAGCATTTTCTCATGGACATATGTATCTACAACCTGCACATTAAGAACAACTTTGATACTGTTCTGTGTACTAATAGTGTGAGGTCGTAGGGACCTCTTTGCCTGGGACATACTTTACCTTGGGAACTGCTCCCATCTTCACAAAAGCAGAGCCATTCTCTCCAGAGGTAAACTAATTTCTTGTCATCCACCATCCTTTCTCTTAACTCGGTGTATTGAATTGCAAACACATGCACGAGGAACCTTTGTTGAGATTCCCATCAGTTAAAGAACAATAGACATGCCATTGCCTACAAGGGGCCATCTACATAGCTCTAAATTACAGGTGAGCAAGTGCTCCAAATTTTCCTCCTGTCTCCAGTAATTTTTTTAGTTTTAGTTTTTATCTCTTCCTACACAGTATAGAATATATAACTGCTCCTCAGAGAAGCTCCTGATGATTAATGTAACTCCAGATCTTAATTGCAGGAATATGTATGATTTTTGTCTATTTATCTAGAGAATGACTGAAAAGAAATAAAATTACCTTTTCCATGTGAAGATTTCTATTTATACTTAGTTCACTAGTTATCAGTTTTCAAGCATTAAATTCTAAAATGTATTTTAGAAAGTACAAGAAACTATTGATTTTCACTTTAGTGAATGAAAATAAGCACATTTATTACCCCAAAGTTTTATCCATGTTACTATATATATATATATTGTTAGGACCCGGAATCCTATTCCCCCGAGAGACAGAGAGCCAGGCGTGAATGCAATCAACAAAGCAGAGTTTATTGGGCTGGCTAGCCAGGGTCGAGCTCCCACACGGACACGCAGGACCGGTTAGGAAAACACGACCCTGAGCCTCTTTAGGGGAAATCTTATATAGACTGCGGTGGCATGCATATTTTCGTTATCAACATTGGGCAAGCAGGCAGAGCACATCTTGCGCGTACCTCACATCTTGCACGTACTTCACATCTTGCATGTATCCCCCGCTCACATTCCCCACATTCTATATGCCCTAACTGAGCCCTGCCGCATTGCTTATCTTATCTACATGGGGTGTTTGGTACTGGTTTCTCCAACAAGGGGGTTGGGGTCCGCTGAGACCTCCTATTCCTTTCATTCCCCCCTTTTCTTACGGCCTAAATTGAGGAATCATTCTCAAGGGGATGAAGAGCCTGATATTGTTGGCGGAGGACCAGAAGTTGGATAGTATTAATTCGACTTTTGACAAAAGTCATAAGTCGGTTTAGAATCCAGGGTCCTATGGTAACAAGTAATAGGATGATTATTATTGGCCCTGCCAATGCAGATAAAAGGGTAGCCAACCATGGGGACTGGTTAAACCAAGACTCGAACCAGCTTTCCCCGGCCTCTCTTTCTCGTTTTCTTTGTTCCAGGCTCTTTCGGAGTTTAGACATGGAGTCACGAACAACTCCGGTATGGTCAGCGTAAAAACAACATTCTTCCCCTAGAGCAACACATAGTCCCCCTTTTGGAGGAACAACAAGTCCAGACCTCGGTTTTGAAGTACTACCTCAGA